AATGTGTGTGAAACAAACCCAAACATTTTGAAAGGTCAAAATAAGTTCAGACAGAGATATGAGAGAAAAAAAACCCATGGGGGATAAATGCCCAAATTTTATCATCAAAATTTATTGGTAATTTAGAAAACCCTCACCTAGACTCCCTTTGACTCAGTGACTATAATATATACAATGAAGTGGTATAAAAACAAAGACTAGAAAACACAAAGAGTCCTTTTTATTGTTAAATATAAATGGATGAATCAAGAGAAAGAACTGTCACTGCCTTAGTTAGTTACCAGCTGCCAGTTTCTCAAGGATATGGTAGCGTGCATATAATTATTCTGTGAACAGCATAAACGAATGAAAGCAATGAGAACTCAGAGGTGTAGCTTTACAGCACACTGAGTATTGAGTCACGCCCAAGAAAACATGCAGCCACCTAGGAAACCGATAAACAGTTTCTGTACTTCACACACACAAAGTGATAAGCAGAAACCCAGGCTAGCCACCAGGACGCTTCTCTGACTGTTGCAGTAGCATGCATGGAAACCGAAAATCTGACAAAGTGATTTCAAAATTACCTTGTACAAACCACAAGAACATTTCTGTCAAGCACTGAGATTTGTTTGGTTGTTCAGTAAAATTACACATTTAGTTAGTAAGCCATCCCCATTGGCTCCCCAGGCAGTCCCCTATGAAGTCTAAGAATACACAGATCAATAATCCCTTTACCCTAACTCCTCTGAACTGTGGTTCTGTGTGTAATATTGTGCTTATCTTTCATTAGACAGTGGAAAGCTGTTTGGGCAGAGAACCTGTCATTATCTAGGCTTCATAGATTTATAGATTCTAAGGCCAGAAGGAATCATCTATTCTGACCTCTTGCATAATACAGGCCATAGAACTTCCCTCAACTAATTCCTGCTTGACATTCTTGAGAAACATCTCATCTTGATTTAAAAATTTTAAAGGGTTTCCCAGAAGAGAATACATCTGTTTGCTTCAAGTGAGACACTTTTCTGCCATAAAATTAATGCAGGCGCAGCTGGCAAAAATTGTAGTTGAATTGTTCTGATGGTCAAGAAGTGTTCAAATCAAAAATAAAGAAGACTAAATGAGATGCTGAATATAGTTAGGGGTCAAGCCTGGGAATTCGGGTGTTTTGAAATAAGATTAAAAGACAGATGTGAACTACCATTGCTGGTAATATTATTGGTTCTTTGTGTAGAACAGAAGTTCTTAAACTGGGGTGTGTGGAATGTCTTCTTGGGGAGGGCATGAGAAGCAACTGCCCAGCTCTGAAGGCAGAGTGGAGAGTGGCAACTACTGGCCAAGTGCCCAGCTTTAAAGGCAGCGCTGTCACCACCAGCAGCGTAGAAGTAAGGGTGACATGGTATGGTATAGCCACCGTTACTTCTGTGTTGCTGGTGATGGTGGTACTGCTTTCAGAGCTGGGCACCTGGCCAGCAGCTGCTGTTCTCCAGCCACCCAGCTCTGAAGGCAAAGTGGTATACATATCAGTATATGTATTTGGGTGGCAGAGTGAGAGGCAGGGCCAGCTCCAGCATTTTTGCCGCCCAAGCGGGCCAGGGAAAAAAAAAATAAAAGCCGCGATCAGCGGCACTTCAGCGGCAGCTCTACCGCCGCCGCTTCATTCTTCAGCAGCAATTTGGCGGCAGGTCCTTCCCTCCGAGAGGAACTGAGGGACCCGCCGCCGAATTGCTGCCAAAGAGCCGGACGTGCTGCCCCTTTCCGTTGGCCGCCCCAAGCACCTGCTTGCTGCGCTGGTGCCTGGAGCCGGCCCTGGTCAGAAGGGGTGTAAACTACTACATATTCAAAGAAGGGGGGTGCGATCAAATAAGTTTGAGAACCACTGGTAGAGAAAACATACAGTTTATAAAATAATCAAATCTCCCTTTTCTAGACAGCTGCCAGAAAAGCTAAAAGAAAGGCAGTGTCTCAAACTGACACTACTGGTATTACAGGATTTAGGAAACAGTCGAGGGAGAAAGTGACATATCTATATGGTAGTAGCTAGCATGGTTCTTCTCCCTTTATGGAGAGTGTTAAGAAAGCAAAAGGAAGCCAGTCAACTTTTCAAATGCCTTCATTTGCAATCAGATTTCTCTCAGCTGTATTAAGCATATCCCAAGCACATGGATTTACAGATGAAGTAGCCCTTCTATTTGATCTCATCAGCTGGGAAGATGGATATATCATGCACAAAGGATCAGTTTCCTTTTTTAAAAAAACACCTGAAAGAGGAAACCATTTCCATCCCATCCCACTGAATACAAAGGAATGGAGGGCTCCTGGTCAAGTCTCTAGAAATGATGGAGGAGCATCCTGCCCTCATAAATGTACCTAGGGGCGAGCATGTGCACAGCAAGTGCTTGTAGGGCCATTTTGAAAGCTTTCCGCAATTTGGAAGGAGAGGAGGAAAGAGTTTTGGGCAGAGGAACAAGAAGAACTAAAAACCATCCAAACAACCAAAAAAAGAAAAGAAAATCATCATCAGCAATGAGGAGATGGATAGCTGCAGAGCAGCAACAATGATGTGTCCAGCCACCAGCATGAATGGTTTTTGAAGTGTGGTATGTGCTTGGTCATTCAGCTGTGTGCTTGGAACTCCGCTAGGCAGCGAGAAGGGGAATGAATGATCAGTTCAAGCAGATGCATACTGCTAGCCAAAGGGCAGGTGGCACTCAAAAGTATACACTGTTGCAGAGAGGGCATCTTGGGTCACCAGAGAATGGCAACACAAAGTGAAGGGGGCCAAGCAGTAGTTGAGGGGGTCACAGTAGAAGGTAGATGGAGTGGAGGAGGACCTTGATCCTGCCTTTGATGCCAACATCTCCCATCTGACAGCAGTCACTTGACACTAATAGATTGCTCAGACCATAAGGGAGCAGGAATTTGAGCACAGAGAGAAGGTAACAGAGGAGGACATATGGGTGTTGCTGGTGTAGAAACAAATGCTGGAGGTAGGCCAGAATGTGCTGTGACAGCATTGGGACACCATGCAGGAGGACGCTGCAGTGGCTGTGGTGAGGATACGTTGATCCTGCAACCTTCTTCTGCACTTGTTGCTTTGCTGGATTCTACTGGTGGTGTTGCCTCAGCACAGGCATATCAGGTAAGTTACACAGAGTTGATCAGTGGTATCCTGAAAAATTCTCTCATACCCATGATTTCATCCTCGCCTTCTATTTACCAAGTGCTGTACCCTGGTCTTCCACTGTTCGTGGCTGTTTACATGCACCAGTACAGGCAGCAATATGGATATGTCCAGTATTCGTATTAGTCACTGCAACCTTTCATTAATCTAGTAATACCAATTTCTTCCCCTCAATCCGCATTTCTTTGCGATGCTCTGCGAGTCTGATGTCAGCAGCATACTATGGTAAACTCCTCCTCTCTGCCCACTACCACCACTGCCCTAGGTTGCTATACAGGATTCATAGATTTTAAAGCCACAAGGGACCATTATAATCATTTAGTCTGACCCCCTGTGTAAAACAGGCCATAGCTTCTGTTTGAGCTACAGTTTATCTTTTAGAAAGACATCCAGTTTTGATATAAAAGACTTCAAGTGATGGAGAGTCCAACACATCCTCTGGTAAGTTGTTTAATATTAATTACCCTCCCTGTTAAAAATTTGCATCATGTTCAGGGCCGGCTCTAGGCACCAGCCCTCCAAGCATGTGCTTGGGGCGGCACTTTCTAAGGGGCGGCACTCCGCCCCCCCTTTTTTATTTTTATTTTTAATTTTTTTGCTTGGGGCGGCATTGCCAGGAGCCAGCCCTGGCCCAGCCACTCGCCCTGTCAGTGCATGAGCTGGGATCCATGCCCCCTGCCCAGCCCGGCGGCGCCCTGCACAGCTCACTCGGGGAAACGCCGCGCCACCCCGGGGATACTTGCAGCGGCAGCAGGACCCCTCCTCCCTCCCTGCATCCCGGGCCCTGCTTACCTCCCCACCCCGGCTCCTCACACACTCCGGGAGCTCCTCTCCCCGCCGCCACCCGGGCTGCGGCGGCGGCAAGAAGGGCTCCCAGAGTGTGTGAGGAGCCAGGGAGGGAGGGAAGCGGGGTCCCCTGGAGCCAAGCCCAGGCTGCGGAGGCAGCGAGAGGGGCTCCCAGAGTCAGGGCCGCCCGGGCGGGGCAAGTGGGGCAATTTGCAGGGGCCTCCACGAGTGTGTTGGAGGCTCCCCCCACCTCCGTCTTCCACCATCCCCCGGCGTCTCAGCTGGTAAGGGGGCGGGGCTGCGAGTTGTGGCCGAGCGGCAGGAACTCAGGCCCCGCTGGAGACACCACGCCACTGCAGCACTGTCCGGGAGAGGGGGTAAGCGGCATGGTAAGGGGCCGAGGCTGGGCACCCCCCCGACCCCATCCCCCACAGCCCTGATCCCCAGCTCTGAGCCCAGCCCCTCTGAGCTGGGCACCCCCCCCAACCCCATTCCCCTCACAGCCCTAACCCCCAGCTCCGAGCCCAGCCCCTCTGAGCCGGGCACCCCCCGACCCCATCCCCCTCACAGCCCTGACCTCCAGCTCTGAGCCCAGCTCCTCTGAGCCGGGCACCCCCCCGGCCCCATCCCCCCCACAGCCCTGACCCGCAGCTCTGAGCCCAGCCTCTATGAGCCGGACACCCCTCCACCCAAAGCCCAGCTCCCCACCCAGCCCTGAGCAACAGCAGCACCACCCCCAGGCAGCGACAGCCCATTGGCACCAACCATCACCATCACCCAGCAACAGCCCATTATGTAACTGGGTATACATACCATTAAAGCATTTAATGTTTTTAAATAATGTATTTAGTGTATTTTCAAATTATTACAAATTAATTTTTGAATGTATTTCACTAGTTATTTTTTACATTTCCAAATACGTTACTATAGTATTGCAACTTTTTTTTAATGGAAGGGGCCCCCGAAATTGCTTTGCCCCAGGCCCCCGGAATCCTCTGGGTGGCCCTGCCCAGAGTGTGTGAGGAGCCGGGGAGGGAGGGAAGTGGGGTACCCTGGAGCCGAGCCCGGGCTGCAGCGGTGGCAAGAGGGGCTCCCGGAGTGTGTGAGGAGGTGAGCAGCTGGCTGGGCTTGTTGGTGCTGAGCAAGTAGCCCCGCAGCCGGAGATCCTCGCCTTCCTGCCCGCCGGGGCTGGGCCAGGGCACGGTGAGGCTGAAGAGCAGCAGGTCCGGGGGGCTCTCCAGGTCCTTGGCCGCCAGCATGTCAGGGGTGAAGGCGGTGAGCATGAACTGATCCACCTCGGCCACCAGCAGCGCCGCGAAGCCCAGGGAGGGGGCCGTGTTCTCCGCGCCACCCCGCAGCCGCACCGCCACCTGGAAGTACTCCTGCTCCGCGCCACCCAGCAGCTCCACCCGCATGGGAACAGAGTCACGGCTGGGCCAGGGCTTGGCTGCCATGTGCTGGTAGCGGATCCCACGTTTGGGGGGAAGCCCAGTGCTGGGGGGGCAGGGGGTGTGGGTGGGGGGGCACTGGTGGGCGGGGGGAGGGAGCTCAGGGCTGGTGGGGAGGCAGCCAAAAGTTTTTTTGATTGGGGTGGCAAAAAACCTAGAGCCGGCCCTGATCATGTTTCCCATTTGAATTTGTCTAGCTTCAACTTCCAACCATTCCCTCTTGTTATGTCTTCGTCTGCTAGAATGATTAAAGGGCCTGTAGTAACAAATACTTTCTATTCGTGTAAGTACTTACAGGCTATGAAAAATACTTAGGCTCTCCTGCTCCTCAGGAACAATTGTCACTAGGGCAACACCACCACTAATCAATCATCAAGATTTCTCTCAGAAGAAGAAAACCCCAGCCACAAATCCTCTGCAAATGAACCCTTCTTTGGTAATAACGACCTTCATAGTCTAGTGAACAGACAAGAGTGGTCACCATCCCCTATAATCAAAAAAGCCCCCGCTAAGTAACAGTGTTTCTTCTTTTCACACAAACTGTGTGCTAGACTGAAATTTCTGCTTAGTGGATCACTATGTTCGGTTAGTGGCAGGAGTGAAAGACAGTGCAATGATTAATTGTGCTGGTGGTACTCATGTTAGAAGTGTTCCTGTTCCCCTAGTATCATCTGGGGCCTAAGCATGACTTGCTGGTAGGCGCTAACCTCTGTAAAGCTCCACTTCCTGTGACTACGTTGGCTATTCACTATGTGTGCTGCTGATACTCATCAGAGAGTGATTAATGTTAGCATGGCAGGGGGAATGTGTTAATCCAACAGCGTTAATCAAAGAGGAGACAATGATAGGTGCCCACAAGTACCTGCAACTACAATTACTTTTTGTGACTATGACATGAAAAAGGGAGGGCCAGATTGTGAGAGGTCCTAAGAGGACAGGAGGGGGCCAGAAGCCATTCAAAACACCCTTATATCCACAAAAGTGGTTGTAGGCAGTGCTCACTTTTATTCCCCTTAGAAGGAAGTAACCAAAAAGGGAGCAAGGACACGTGGGGAGGAGGTAGGGCCATAACCCCTCCTCCCCTGTGTATTGGTGCATGGAGTGGGCTGGCACCCTGGGAAGAGCAATCTGTTCTGACTATCTATGCACTGAGCAGCATCAGGAGAGATACCATCTACTGAGGCACAATCTCTCTGGTGTTTCTCATGGGGCAGTGTGGTTGTGCACCAGCCCCTATGCAGGGCAGATAATAAATCTGGTGTCAAATTATGGCCTCATTACAATGAATGGCAAAACTCCCATTGACTTCAATGGAGCCAGGATTTCATCCCTAGTTCATAGCTTTCTCTCTTCCTCTGATTCAGGAAGCAACTCAGGTATTTTAAATACAGGGCCCTACACACAGCCTACTTTCCAGGGGAAAAGAAGAAAGTATTCTAAAATTTCCTCGGCATAGTTATCACTTGAACCTTCAGCCCTGAATTGCTCTCCACCATCTCCCTGAGGGAATCAAAGTTCCAATGATTTTTTTTTTAGCTGTGCTTCCCTTTTATAAAAGTTAGGTTATCTAATCAGAGACCAGAAACAATGCCCTGTGACTCAGGCCCAAAGGCCACACCACTCCAAAACTGCTTGAATGAGTCCGCAAGCAATCCATAGGCTAAAATCTATTCCCAGTGAATGTTTGTCAGTTAGGCATAGTGAAAAAAATCTAAATCATAGCTCCAGAATAACCTGTGAACACCAACAAGTTTTAAATTCACCAAAACAAATGATTCACTGCAAATGGCTCGCTCAGGTCTCCTTTCCCAGTCATTTTAAAACATAGCTACAGCTGATTCCTAAACAGAGAGGAAGGATGATCTGGTGGCTTGAGGAGGGCGGGGTTCAATTGCCTACTCTGAAACTGATTTACTGTGTGATGTCGGGCACACCCAGATCCTCAAACTCCCATTGGGCGTAGGGTGACCAGATGTTCCGATTTTATAGGGACAGTCCCGATTTTTGGGTCTTTTTCTTATATAGGCTCCTATTACCCCTCACCCCCATCCCGATTTTTCACATTTGCTGTCTGGCAGAGGTGAAAGTAAGCCGGTACGTGCCGGTACGCTGTACTGGGGTGGATTGGCTTCCCCTGGCAGCAATTTAAAGGGCCTAGGGCTCCCAGCAGCAGCTGGAGCCCCAAGCCCTTTAAATTGCCGCCAGAGCCCTGCTGCCGAAGCCCTGGGGAAGCGGTGGCGGGGCTTGGGCGGCGATGTAAAGGGCCAGGGGCTCCTGGCTGCCGCTACTGCAGCGGAGCCCCGGGCCCTTTAAAGCTTTAAATCACCCTCCGATGGTGATTTAAAGTGCCCTGGGCTCCGCTGTGGTAGCAGCAGCTGGAGCCCCGGGCCCTTTAAATCATCCCCGGGGCTCCCAGCCAGGATGATTTAAAGGTCCCGGGGCTCCCAGCTGCTGCTACCACAGCCCCAGCCCCAGGCCCTTTAAATCCTGATTTAAAGGTCCTGGGGATTTAAAGGCCCCGCCTCTTCTGGTTGAGGCCCCACCCCCTCCTAAGGACTCCGGAGTACTGGTAAGTTCTTTAAGTTACTTTCACCCCTGCTGTCTGGTCACCCTAATTGGGCGTGTGACACCTAAATATCATTGAGGATCTGGGCCTTAGTCTCTGAATCAGTTATTCATCTGTAAAATGGGGATACTAGTACTTCCCTACCTCAGATGTACACTGTGAAGGTTAATACATTAAAGAGTGTAAGGTGCTCAGATATTATGGTAGTAGGGGCCATTTCAGTACTGAAGATACGCAGGACAAATTGTTCATGAAGTCACCCTCACTGTGAATATTGTCTACTGAATTATTGCTAAGGTCAATGAGAACTCAGTTTATCTGGTACATTTATAAATTCACATATATTACTTATTTGCAAAGGCTCTTAGGCCCAGATCCACAAAGTATTTAGGTTCCTTACTCCTTTTCTGCTTCATTCATTCTCATATTGGACTCCACTGTAACATGCATGTGTCAAAAAGCACATATAAACTTCCAGACATCTGAATACCACACATTCCATCAGGACCTTGTTACACAATATTTTCAGTAAGATGAAAATGGCATTTTTCGAGACTTGACACCCTGGTGGAGAAAAATCCTCAAGCTGAACCCTGCACTTAAATATGCTCCCAGCCCACTCTTGTGCAGCTTGTAAAACCAGCTAAGGTTCCTTTGCTTCCACTGATTTTATGAGAAAACCCACGCAGAGATATGAGATAGCAAAGCAAAGAGCAGGATCTAGTCTATCATTTGTAAATTATGAATTCAGCCAACCAAGAGACATTCCTGCTTGTCAAACTTGGAAATTAATTGCACAACACCCTCTCCCCCACCACCAACACCACCCTCACCCAGTTTTAACCAGTGTTAGCACAGACAGGCCTTTCAAGTATATCTGCTTCTTCTGATAAAATTCATTGGTTTTGTACATACACGGAGAAAAAGGGGAGCTATGGGTGAATTAATTACGGGAGTTTGCATGGGGAGGTTGAAATTGTACCTACCTATGCCAGCGAAGGGCACCATGTCCACAAGGGGAAGGCAGCTTTATATTTTATCAAGCCAGGAGAGGCTATGGGGGACATCCCCAGCCACAATGGTAATGCCATTTTTGGGGGTTGGGATGTCTGTCGGCAGATACCCTGGTGGAGGAGAGTGTTGCAGGCATTGTGTGCCACTGCAGTCCTCCTCTAGGCTAGGGTGACCAGACGCCCCAATATTCAGGCGTGGTCTTATATAGGCGCCTATTACCCCTCTCCCCCCCACCTTGCAGATTTTTCACTCTTTCTATCTGGTCACCCTACTCTAGGCAGAATTACCATTTCTGGGGGCCAGCAGACACAGCGAAATTACTGCATCTATCTTGTATTTTAGTCCTTCGTTTAGTTTTCAAGAGTTCAGAACAAGTTCCTCTGCAAGACTAAATCTTGTTCATCCTTCTCGCATGAGCAGCCCCATTGAATTCAAGGAAGATGAGAGGCTGCAGATTAAGTTGTAGCCAAACTGTGGACTAAATTCTACCCTGTGTTACATCAACGTGAAACTGGAGTAACTCCTTGATTTTAATGGATATTCCAGATTTACACAGGTGCATGCGTGAACATGATTTGTCTCTATGCCTTTTTTTTATTCATTTAAGAATATAGACAGTACTGTGTTCTTCTATTATACCTGCATAGGGTGAAGAGAAATATGATTTATTTTGTAACCATTCATCCTTGCTTGAAACCAAGCAAGTACACACAGATAGGAATTTCTGGCCACACCTCTATATGAATATATGGATCATTCTCACACTGAGCTACAGCGATGACTAATTCTAAAACTTTCTGTTCACAAGCCTGAGGAAGCCTACAAAGCTTTTCCTTTATTGATGGTTATGCTAAAGGAGTCTTTTATAGAAAGCAGCAGAAATTGTATCTCCAAGAGAGAGATGCTGCACATTCCAATGCAAAGAAATACAAAAGCACACTTACAAGATATATCAACGTGGAACAGAAATAAGAACATAAGAATGGTCATACTGGGTCAGACCAAAGGTCCATCAAGCCCAGTATCCTGTCCTCTGACAGTGGCCAATGGCAGGTGCCCCAAAGGGAATGAACAGACAGGTTATCATCAAGTGATCCATCCCCATCACCCAATCCCAGCTTCTGGCAAACAGAGATTAGGGACACCATTCCTGCCCATCCTGGCTAATAGCTATTGATGGACCTATCTTCCATGAATCTATCTAGCTCCCTTTTGAACCCTGTTATAGTATTGGTCTTCACAACACCCTCTGGCAAGGAGTTCCAGAGGTTGACAGTGCATTGCATGAAAAAATACTTTCTTGTGTTTGTTTTAAACCTGCTACCTATTAATTTCATTTGGTGGCCCCTTGTTCTTGTATTATGAGAAGGAGTAAATAACACTTCCTTATTTACTTTCTCTATATCACTCATGATTTTATAGACCT